TAAGTATATATTGAAAAAAAACAGTTATTAATGTTTTACACGCGAAACATAGAATATAACGTCTTTTTTTTTCTATTACATATAAAGACATATATTCATAATTTAATCAAACTACATCGGGTTGAAATCGCAAACAAATCGATTAATCGATCAGCAAGTTATACTCCATATTATTGGTTCTTATGATTTTTATTTATAATTACCACTAGTGAGTTGGAAAAATAAATGTTAGGGATGCTATAACAAAAAAAGACCGTCCCGGCATTATTTTTACCTCAAAAAATTACGCTACGATTTTTGAAAAAATAGTAAAAGTACTTTCCGATTTAAACACTAATTGTTATCGTTTAATGATGCAATCCAAAAAAATAATGAGGTAAATAAATAACACAACACATGAAAGAAAAATTGTATGGAAACCGTTATCTGAAAAAAATGTATAAAATTAGCGTTTGAAGGGAATACAGGAGAAAATTGTAAAATTTACAATAAACAATATAATAAGGTACGAGAAATTATATTTAGGTATAATGAGAATTTTATAATTTACGAGAGCGACAAAAAAAATTAAATTTAAAATAAAAACAGGACCCAAGGAGAGAGTGATCCTCCCATCTTTCGGTTTTTTTTTTTTTACCAGCACCTAAATGAATGCCACTGCACAGACTAATATTACAGTAATAACAACGAGCATACCAAACTAACGAATACGAGAGGATGATTTTATATTCGTTTTGTTTTTTTAAAAAAAGTTTAAATTAAAAAATTGTTTATTTTTTTCTTTTTTTACACCGTTTAATATTTTAATATCTGTATATGACATATTAACCCAAACGTATATGCGACATTAAAAAAAAAAAAGGTTATAGGAAAAAAAAACAATGAAATTTCACATCCACTCGCGCGCACATAATAATAATAATAATATGAGTTATTCGGACGAAACGCAATGTACATATATATTATAAGCGGAGAACAGTGCGCACGCGTGAGGCATAAAAAAAATATTTACTCGTCTCTCGCGAATCTATTAATGAATTTTTAATAGAGATATGTCCCACTAAAAACGCGCAAGTATTAAACATAAAAAGCGACAAAACTATTGGCCCAGTCATAATAAAAACTAAATATTATATGGATAAAATTAGAACGGATTTAGAGCGTCATATAAATAAACCGAATACGACCGCTGTATATATTATGCACATACAGCTGCTACCGTTTTCTTCTGAGCATTCGAGCTCAGTGCATGTACTCGACCGGATATGACGTTCAAAAACCGAGTTTCCTAGATCGAATCGTACACATCAATGTTATGGTTTTATATAAGCGACGGTGGACTACAAGGTTAAGACTTATACCTTCAGGTTTTTTTTGGGGGGAAGAGAGTCCGACTTGACCCGGTTTAACCAGCTGCGTGGATGGCCCTTAGTTTTTGTATTTTAATGTTCATAAAATCCGATTTCTATGAAAAAAATTATACATTTATAAATCAGTACTAACATCGTGAAATTTGCTCTAAAGGTTTTTTTTACGAGACTTTGTTACGAAAAGCGTTAAAAAGCGTCCAGTTGCCGTCATTGTAACGTCGTGCCGCTATCACCAGCCAATGGGCGTTTTCCATAGAGCCGGTGATAACTATGCAAATAAAGAAAAAAATTATTAATTTCAACCGCCCAAGAATAACGTGATCGAAAAAAAAGTAGGTAGGTACTCTAGTAATACATATCGTCGTTCTGCGCTATATAATTTTCGCGTTTAGTTTCTTCATCTATATTTAAACACGATTTTGGCCACCAAAACGGGTCGTTTGGCCCACCGTAAGCTGTTGTTTTTTTGAGATATCGCCACTACGTCCATCGTGAATTATCAAGATCATTTCTCTTTCTTCGCCTCGCGGAAATGACATCATTCACGCACACTGTAGTATAAAAACGCGATTTTTCAGACCGAAACATTTTAAGCGAATCCATGTATTTTTGATAAAAAACATCTTATGCGGCGGGTCAGACCTTCCCGTTTTTTCTCCTTGATCAATTTTCAATAGGCAATTCGACATTTATAGCGCAATAATAACGACCGAAAATCACTTTTGCTGTTTCAATAACGAAAAAACCAATCTTATACCTAATTAATTTTAGACTAAAACGGTTATTGTAACAACTTATCTCTAACGTAATGTTATATGACTTACATGGCTACACATACGTAATATACGTGCAGCCACTTCGCGCATTTAATTACATACCTACATGTATATTCAGTAATGTAAAGAGTTTTTCCATTAATTCTTGTTTTGCAGACAAGAACATATTCTACTGGTTCTTCGGTTGTTTTACATTACATACTCAGTTGACGATTCCTTTGTATATACATATAATTGCAAACGAAAAACTGTAACTTGATGCACACAAGCAAGATGATAAAAAGTTCAAAAAAAAAAACCCTGTGCAACCACTTACTCCACGACACCGTTTTAGTATGCTTAATTTCCACCAGGGGCGTATTTAGACTTATTTCTAGGGGGGAGAGGGCGACTCAATTTTTTTCTATAATTCAGGCTCAAAATTTACAAGTAAAATTTTTGATAATATTTAAATCAAGTGGATCCTTAATATTTGTGTTTTTTTTTTAATCTAATACCGGATTAACTTAGAACAGACTTTTATGTAGTTTTTATTTAACACCTGTTTGTGTTTTGAAAGTTACGCTTGTGTTTTATTTGATTTTTCACTTAGCATGGACCCGACAAAAAGCCCAATTCAGTAATCACAGCCACGCGTAATTTGATTTCGTTAGAAAATGATCCACATTAAAAAAAATTTGAAATGTGTATCTCACTTATAATCGATTCCTAAAATACAGATTTAAGGGGCGGAGGCTATTACACTTTCGTTCGCCTCCTAAAATACGCCCATGATTCTCATACAGTAGATTGAATGTAATTCTACACAAGACAGGTGGAACGTATCGGTTTCGGACGATTTAGTGTTTAGTGCATCGTTTTATGGACTGTAAATCGTAGTGAAAACCTTTACGATTCTAATCCGGAGCTGAAGTTCAGTAAATAAATACAAACGAACATTGGAAAATGCCGAAATATAGATCCCATACATTATAATCCCGACGAAATCGTCTCGATCAATCTATCAACTTATCATAAATTGTTGAGGATATCGTGCGAAAATTCCCATCTACCCGGAAAGCATGAAAATGTGTGCTTGGAAAATAAAAAAATGAAACGTAACCCCCGGAACCGAACCCAACGAGCTATGGATGAGAATAAAAAGGAACGCACCGCGGCTAGTCGAAATATTCTTGTGCACGGGTCAAACGCGTAGAGCTCACGCACTGCTCGCGAAACGCATCGACCCCGGCAATCACTAAGTGGGCCGATTTTTTTTTTTTTTCTTCATATCGGTATCTTTCAACGCGTACACCGCCGTCGTGTCGGACCGTCGAGCGACACGCACGCGCGAGTTTAATAATAACCGTACGTGGCCGCCCCGTCGCGGCGCAATACGTGCACACAACATACCACTGCGCGAGATAGGGGGGGCGGGGGGGGGAGGCGCGGGGGGGGGGGGGGGGGGAGTATTGTTCGTGACGGGCCTCGTCGAAACGAATAGGCTGCGCGCGGAACCGGCCGACGAACGATCTGTTGCAGCACCACAACCCACCCGTTTTACGTTTCGCGTTCCGGATTCGGATAGCGAAAAAATCGTCGAAAGTTCATTTCACATCGAACTGTGCGCGGTACCCACCTGCGCGCTGCGCTTGCAAAGTCTACACAGAGGTGGAACTAAGAATTTTTACGCCCCGGGAAAACGTTATATCATGGACCAATAGTCACCCCGCACTCTTCTCGAGAATTTTTTTCTAACAATTAATATACAATCATACTTATTGAGTTTTAACCTAATATCAGTGTTCAACAAAGTTAAAAATATCGAATCAGCCGTTAATAATTACAAAAATTACACCCTCTACAATTTTACGCCCGTGGACGATTCCCCGTCTTCCCCCCCCCCCCCCCCCCCCCCCCCCCCCCCTCCCCGTCGATAGGGTCAACCGCTGATTTCCACAATACAATCGGTTTTCGACAAATCGAAATTCGACAGCTGCTGTAAAAATTAACCAGAAACAACGTAGTGGGCCGTAAAAATAAAAGCTGCACGATTTGTTTTCACCGATTTAAGCATGTTTAACGTTTTATCCGTAGAACAATGTTCGTCGATAACGTTGATTTCAATCGATATTGGGATATTGTCCTGGTAAATAACAGATGAGATACGAGTTGAAAAGAAGACGAGTGAAAAACAGTCGAGTATTGAAAACGGTTTTCGAGCCCGTATTTGATCGATTACTTTCTGCGTACATTCTACAGGAGCTGCCAACGCGCAAGGGTTAACACAATGAATGTCGCTCACATTTTTCCGCCAGTCCGCAGCGCGCCGAACCACCCGGCTGGAAAAAAAAATGTCATAATTGCAAAGCGGTCCGCGAAATGTTGCGCACCACTGCGGCACGCAGAAATAATACACGTACAACAGCGACGACGCGCGGGGCGAACAATCGTCGTCCACTCGACAGTGGACCGTGTAATATTAATATATAGTTCAAAACCGCAGAGTTGCGAAACGTATACGCGCAACGTACGTTACATAGCATGCGCGCGTGAAATACGTTATTTATAATCGTTTATATTTTTAGATTTTACGGTAAATCAAATGTCAAGTGTGCGTGTGTGTAATATAGGTAAACAACAACATCACAAACACCACCACATACGGACGGGACACGGGCTCTTTTATCTCTCTTCTCACTCCCTCTCTCTCTCTCTAGGAATTCGAGATATAAAAAATAATAATAAAATAAATAAAAAAAAAAAAAAAAACAAGCCAAATAAAACGGTAAAAAAATATACATAAATATAATAATAATATTAATAGTAGTAGATAAATAATAATAATAATAATAATAATAGTAATAATATTATAATAATAATAGATATTTTACAAAATATATAATATCGGGGAGACGATACTATGGAAAAAAGAATAAATCTTTTCAGATGCGCACAAATGTCTCATGTGAATGGATATTACGTCTAATGTATACATCGGTATATACATAATGAATCCGTACGAGGAGTGACGCGTCTAGAATCTTAATAAATTTAATAATTAAAACCGAATGTGTACACGACATATACAAATACTTAATGAACATCAATAATTATGTGTATATGCATACAAGTACATACATGTGATACGTATGTATATATATATATATATATATAATATATAGGAACCGAAAATGGGAAATACGATTTGATTGGTTCGTTTTCTGTTTTCCGGCGGCGACGTCGTACCCCTTTAGCGACAGTAATAATGATAATAATAGTGGCCATACAACGTGCAGGAAAACAAACTCGTCAAAAAAAAACAATAACAGTAGGCGTACACACGTGGTAACTCAACGGATAGCCAAGGAATCAATAAATAATTAATTGCGTTGAAAGTGCAGTCGGTTTTGCATACGCGGAGCGGCTACTAAATTAACAGGTCGCCTAAAAAAAAAAAAAAATTGTAATTATGAAACACAAAACACACAAAAATATAAATAAACAAAAATAATAAGAAAAATTATAAAAACATTGGAAATGTATAACTACCACCTCAAAGCGTACACGATATACTTAATATTAAGTAACATGCAAAAAGCTAAATAAAAATTAATGTTATCAGTAGCGCCATGTAGTAGGGAGAAAAACGGGAGAAGCTATTAATTTTTTACGGTTATAAATAGTATTTTAAAAAAACCAAAAAATTATTAATAATATTATTAATTGACAATAATCAATAATTAATTTCACTTATACAATGGTTTCCTTTGATACTAAAAGCTGAGGATTGTAAAAATATAAAACATCAAGAATTATAATGACCTATATATATTCAAGAAAAGGCAAGGGAGTTATTTGCCACCCCTTCCCAAGGTTAATTTCTTCAATTAAGCAACTGATGGTGTTAGTGTAGTCATATTTGTGCTATACAACGAAAACCCAGGATTATTATTAACACCAAAATAATAAAAAATAATAATAACTAAAAAGAAAGTACAGATAGGTATAAGAGAAGTACACAAGAATCCTTTTGAAAAAAAATCGACACAAGTTCATGTTTTTTTTTTTTTGAATAACGATATCGTATATTTATTCAATTGTTAAAATATATTCACAATAATCGGTGAATAAAAAAGCCTTTCTCTGTTTTCTGTGCTTGATTAATACATTTTTACGCTAGGTACATTTTTTTTTTATAATATAAATTATAACATACAATTGTATAACTTTTTTATTATTGCTACAATCCGACAGTTCATCTAAAGTACATTTTTTCAGAGTGTCTCCGTAATATTCAGAGATAACAATTATTATTATTATTATTATTATTATTATTTATTATTATCATATTTAAATCGATGGTAGTAATTGGTTAATATTTAATGAGCATATATACGTTATTATTACATAATTAATAAAAGCGATCATCCAAGTTGGAGCTAAAACGCGGTCTCTCCATCTGGAACGCGGTTCACGCGCCTATATGGTGTACAAAATATCATCATATAAAACACGTGATAAAGAGTATCAACGATATAATAGTCGAGGCGCAGAAGAGCTGTAATACTAACGCCGGTAAATTGGTAGTAAAATGGTTGAGTACTAAAAGACCATTGAAATGTAAGTCTTATTTTTCTCGAATTTAACGACGGTCGTCGTCTTCAACCCTTGAAAATTGAAACACTGACATTCATCATGACACGAACCGTATCCGTCGAGAACAAGAAAAAAAATCAATCAAATTGGGTACCCGACGAGTGAACGGCGCTTGACGATAGATACGATCGCATTTTTAGCTCAACAAACTTACAAAAGTCACCACTTATCGATATTTTTAATTTAAAAAAGCAATCAATGACTAGGAACACAAAAACTAGTTCTGTCGTATTTCATAAAAAAAAAAAATCGTAATTGACTTAACAACAATACAATTATTACAGTATATTAGAATAATCTAGAAAACTCCTAATTTGTAACAATATACACATAATGATTAGGTATCTTATTATAGATAAAAAGTTTCCAAGTTTTTTTTTCTTATACAATTGAAACGAATTAACAATTGTTTTCAATAATGATGACATAATATGTTTGTTTTGTTAAAATTATTTTTATCGTGAAATATTTTAAAAATTATCCAATCATTGTTCTCTTCATAATTATACATATGTATGATGGATTCAGTGGTGCAAAGCCAAATTATGCATTAGGTAGGATAACTTAAGTTAATTACAATCATATGTATTTAAACTGAAAGTATTTTTAATATTATAATTAATTTCCCATGTTTAAGAGTAATATTATCAACAAATAAATGTAATATAATATATCAAAGTTATCGAATAAAATTGTTTTTTTACTATATAAAGTTGCTTTTATTATGATTATACTAGTCGCTGTATTTAACTTCAGGAACTCTGGTAACTAAATAATTAACAATATATTAATTAATAAATAGCTTCATTTTTTGAGTATACAGATGATAAAAATATAACCTTTCGACTTTATAAAAATAAATGCCGTGTAATAATTAAAATAATTGGATACATATTACATACTTTGAATGTGATTGTTTATAGGGATTCATGTAAAAATAAAAATAAAACAAAACCCCTATATGCACTTAAAGTTAAATAAATAAATATAATAAATGGAATGATAATAAATTATTATAACAATAACAGGACCTCTTTGTCTTAAACATTTTTTCAAATAACGAGGTCTTCAGTAATATAATGTTTTATGTACATAACGAAAAAAATGATTTTATGTGTTTAACACTTAATTAATAACTAATAATCACATTTTATACGTACATCATATCTAGACTATGATTTAAACATTTTAAGTTGGCCTAATAGGATAAGATAACAAAAACTATCATAAATTACACTTAAATAATTTTTAAACAAAATGTTTTGTCTCGTTTTTTGGACATTCGCTTGCTTCTTAAATAGAAGATAAATCAAGTCTAGAAAATTTCACCACGTGCTGAAATTAAAGAATCAAAAACATATTTGTATACATTTACTTTCTTAGTGAACTCATAAATTAAAAAATGGCCTCTGATTATATGCTTTTCACTTGTTTATTTTCACTTTCGAAAATAAATCCCAAGAGTAAATTAACAGGTTGTATAAACCAATTAATAAATTGGCATAATTGCATAAAATAATAAAAAATAAGCTTCAATAATTCTTAACAATTTTGAATTTTCATGGAAGTTATTACATTACACTTAGATTAGAACTATGCTATAAGTCAATTATTTTTATAAATTTAATTATTAAACAGGAATAATACAACATTGAGACCAATGTCTTTAATTAGCTAATATCAAATTAACATTTTAAAACAAATGAAAATTCATTTAATCAAAAACACTTTAAATTTAACATGAATATTGAACTCAACTCACCATGCTAGTAAGTGAGATATACAGCTTATTTGAAACGGTTGGCAAAAGCGTTGGTAAGCTCATTGACAGCTACTTGCGCAACAGCTTGGCCGACCGCTTGCTGTACACGTTGCGGAATTTGTGGCATCGTTCCTCGCCTATTATCGCCATACCATCATAATAATATGAGTATATAACACATGCATAGCCATATTTTTAAATAACAGACATTTCTTAAACTAGTCTAAATAATTATTTTTATAAGATAAAATACAATTATTAAATAAATATCAACAATCTATTTGTACCAAAAACCCATCACTATTAACATTAATAAATTAATTCAAAACTGACACCAATACCAGCAAAAGCATTTGTTTTCATATTTTTTTATTATAATAATATATATACTCATATATCATATAAATATAAATGTATATACATTGCATCATAAGCATTTAAATAATATGCAGTATTTAATAACATTAAAATAAGTGCTTTTATTTATAACTACATCTTTTAATAGAAAATAGAAAATTTTCTAGTCTTTAATCGATAAATATTTTAGTATTTAGTCTAATACATAGCCAAGAAAATTTTTAATCCATACATTCATAAATATATACATTTTAATTAAAAATCTAATTAAAAATACTTATAATAAAAACAAAAATATTATCACGAATATAAAAAAAACCCATAGTTATTATTTAGATCCTGTTTATATAATGATATAAACAAATTATAAAATCATAATAAAAATATTTTATATTAGAATAATAAACAAATTCAACGCAGTTAAACAAATTTAAGAATAAAATATTTAAAATTAGTTACAGAAATCAATTTATTTTCAAAATATGATGAATGAACCATTCATAAATAACTTTAATATAAAAGAAAACTAATAGATATTATTTGATAAACTTTTTCTTGACTATGCAACTAGATATTTATAATTATGAACTTAACACTAACAAGATCAACAGCCAGAAATTTATATGACTTCTTAAACGGTTTTAAAAATAATGATTTACATGATCTGACATTTTGTTAAATATGAGCTAAAAAATAAAAATAAAATATGAAGACAATATACCTAAAAATAATTATCTTATAATACTTATTCCACAATCACTACCAATAGTTATTATTAAAAGGTGACTGAGTAAATTCCTAATATAGGATAAATAAATAATTATAATTATTACTTAACAACGTTTACAAATAGTGAATTGTTTAACAATAATTAGATAACATACCTAAGTTATTAAAATCTAAATCCCTAATTAAATGGATAAGCTAAACCTATACAATGAGATTAACCAACATATCGAATACAAAACAAATTTATAATATATATATATATATATATTTGTTAACAAATAAATAATAAAATTACTAATATTATTATTAATATTAATCACTCAAATTAATTAAAGAATTAATAAAAACAATGGACCAAATTTAGCTTACTCGGGCTTCAAATTATGAGTATAGGTTAGTTCGTTATGAATATAGTGATTATTATTAATGAAGTTGCAGATTAAATCAGCCACTGATGACATGCTCGACAATATATTTCAACGGCGTCTGAAATGTAAAAAAAACCACACCGTCGCCGTTGCTGCCTTTAACACTAATGTTAGTAACTCAAACTAACTACATGTTAGTGAGTACTATCATTAAGTACATAGCTAACCAGCTAATATTGTTAGTTAAGCTAGTATAGCTACGCACTAATTAATTACCAATTGTAAGAAATTCATTGTTAACAAAACTAAATTTTAAAGTTAATTTAAGAGAATTACGATGAGCTTTATAAAAAAAATTTAAAGCAATAAAATTCTCAAATTCACTTACGAAGGAATTAAAGGTGGAGGAAGTCCCTGGCCACCAGGTCTGCCAGGTGGAGCAGGGGGTTGTCGTCCTTGCTCGGGTCCAGGTCTATTGGGTATAGCTGGAGCTGGTCTTCCTGATGCTGGAGGTGGAGGAGGTGCTCTTGAGGCAGCATTTGCAGGTGTGGGGTTAGAAGGTACTCCTCTACGTCCAGCACCACCAGGACTTGGTGGAGACAACCTTTGTAAATAAACACAATCAAAACTAAAATGATGAAATATTTATAACTAAATTACCTTGGATTGTCAAGACTAGATGCTAGCCAATCATTTTTGACTGGAGGTGGAACAGGTGTGGTTACAGTTGCCATTGATACATCACCAATAATTCTTAATGCTTCTTTACATGCTTGGTACATACGCATCATTTCCTCACGTTTTACAGCTTCTTCTGCACTTTCTTCCATCATTTGAGACTAGAGTTAAAAATGTTAGTTTAAAATTTTACAATAATATAAATAAATTATTAAAATACTGTTATATATTATACATGGGAATATCTCCAAACATTAAAACATAATATTTTTAACATCCTAAACCATATTATAAATATTGACTTTAATATAAAAATAAGTTTTCATGTAAAATAATACAACTTAATTTAATTATTTATATAATAATTTCTTTATTTTTAGATTTTAATTTTTAATAATTTATAATTTAATTTAATTTTTAATTTAATAATTGAATTAAAAAAAAAAATAAATTAAAATTAAAATTAAAATAAATTATTAAACATTTAATAAATTATAAAAATATTAATTTAATTTGAATAATTTGAAAAATCTAAGAAAGTTGAACCTTTAAAAAAATTATTTATTACCAAATATTGATGAATAAATGCATAAAAACTTATAGCCATGAAAGATGAGGTTAATAATACATTTTAGATGATCTTATACACATAATGCTTATATACTAATATTAAAGAATTATGGGAAAAAACAATCAACAATTAACAAATTAATTTAAAGACAAACACTTCATATTAACTATAAATGATAAAAAAAGGCAGAACTATCACCATAAAAATAAAAATATTATTACCTGATCACCAGAAGCATATAGATGAGCCAATAGTTCTCCATTAATAAAATCTTTTGAATTGTTAATAATCAAATGCATAATAATTTTAGGGACTAGATCACGACATGATTTTGTTACAATTTTCATATATGAATCAACTAAATTTCTAATAGTTTCCACTTGTCTTTCCAAAACAGGATCCATCGAAGTAGTTGATTCTGTACTACTCTATAATTATAAAAGCTCAATTTAATATCATATTCAATGGAACTTAAAATTAAAAATAATATTAATGATTTAAATGTAACTAACCTCACGACCATCCTGATCGAAAGGAAAAAAAAAGAAAAGCAAAATTAAAATTAAGAATAAATACATAATTATTAAAATTCAATTAAAATAATATACAATTTAAATTTACCTCATCACTATTAGAAACATCTGACGACTTTTCTGGATAAACACCGGCACGTAAAAATGATGCTTTCCAAGAATCTACATCGTCTTGGGTCTCACAACTCAATTCAAGCTGTTTGTAGTCCTAAAAAATATATTTATGTAATTAAAAAAATGTTATAAACCAATTCTCCACTGATACCATTGATAACAAAATAAAAAATTTAAATAAGCTATTTTATTATTATTACACATATAATATAACCACTATAGTGTTCAAACCAATTAAAAGTTAATTTTATATTTGTAGTTGAAGTAATAATTATTATTTTAATTTAAAATTAAAAAAACCAGTGGAGAGTAGGCTTATTACTTATATATAATTAAATTCAAAATTCACCTTGTAAACATTACGACCTTCTGGATTAAACAATGCAAATGTATGACGACGAGACATAAAACCTTGTTCGACGTCTTTAATTTTCAACCCATCCAGTGGTAACATATATTTTTTTTCTCTTTCCTAAAAATAAAAATCATAAAACAATAGTTCAAAAACATAATAAATTAATATTTGTACCTCTTCATCTTTGAACCATGAAATATTTTCAGACATCAACACAAACCAATAATCTCTAGATCCACCTTTCATGATGCCCAAATTATGTATACACATCCAACCTTTACGAATCACCTGGTTTCCAAGCTTGTGAGTTTTGTTTGAATTATCAGATGATTGTTGTGCACTATGTAAAAATATTATAATTTATAATAAATAATTCAATTAATAATATTAAATACAATCATTATATATACTTAGCAAATCCAATAAAATCTTCATGGTTCGTATTCATATAGGCTAATTCACATTCAACCAAAAGAATTAATTGTTCTTTACACAATTGTTCTCTATTACGGATATATGATGTAATAATACGTTCCGTTTCTTCTCTCAAACGTGGATACCGAGACATCTATATAATATATGATTCAATAATTTATCATATGTTAACCAACAAAAAATTATAACTAATAACAATTATGTTAATACCTTATCAGTACAAATTCTAACCACATTAGATAGTTCATTGACAACAAGATCAGTACATTTCAAAGATGGTTCTTTCAATCTGGCAATTTGTTTTTTTACAATAGCTTCAAATGCCATATCAGGTGTAAACAAACCAACTCGAATACCTATAAATTAAAGTAATATTTAAACTGTGAATAATATTCTTTAATAAATTACATACCATGAATATTTCTAATGGCAAATGCTATTTCTCTTCTTAGTTCTTTTTCATCAATTTCCATTTTGACAATTTCAAATGGAAAACGTTCATGGAATAAACGATTGATTTTAGCACCTCCAGATAGTTCATTGGTGTTTATCTGAGCAGAACCGGAACCTTCAATTGTGCGTTCAAAATCAGATTGAAGTTGTTGTATCATTCTGAATTAATCAAAATAATAACAAATAGTAGTATTTTCATAAAATATTGAATTATGGTTTAACATTTCTTACTGTAACATTGCTTTTGTTTTAATAGCTGGATCATCTGGTCTAAAATATTTAAACTGTTCTACATCCTTTTCTAATGCAAGTAATTGTTTCTAAAAATAATTAAATTATGAACAATTGTGAGCTTTACGATTTATAACAAAATATACTTGTAATTTATCTCTAAGACCCGGTAATGTGTCTCTAATATGATTTGTTAACTGTTGGTTCAAAACTCTCTGTAAATATGGTGTACCAAGTCTATCAGCCATGTGTCTATATGATGGATGTCTAAACAATAATATAACACATTAACTACTTAGAACTTAAACTGAATACAAGTATTTAACCAACCCCAAGAAGAATTTTCTTTCTGCAGCTAAAGCAGCTTTAATATCTTTACGGCCATCAATATCTTTTTGACTCCGGTTGACCACACCAATATAACCACGTCTCAAAGGTAAAAGCTTATTTTCTAATACATCTCTAGCATCAGTTCCTTCATCCATCAAATCTAATTTTGTTATTACCCCAATAGTTCGCATACCTAAATATCAAATATTATAAATTTATGTTGTACATTTCAATAAAATATAAAAACTTCAGGGAGAAAACATAAGTGCAAATAACAAACATCAAAACAATACCAAATTTTTTACAAAAATATTGAACATGCTTTATAGGTATGAAAATAAATGGTTTTTTTTTTGCAATAATAATAAATAATTAAATAAAAAATTTAAAAAAATTTAAAAAATAATCAAATAATAAGTGAAATGAAAACAATTATTTACAGAAAATGAAAATAATATTCATTAAATCTATTATTATCACTATAGTTTTCCATTATTTTATACATAACATGCATAGTTTCACTATAGTAAATTTCTAATTGACTTTGTAGAATACTACATAAAGATAAGACTTAAAAATCAATTAGTAAAATAAATAAAACAGTTTTTTATAAAAACATAAAATCAATCAAAAAATGAATGATAGTTTCTATTTCAAAATACTGATAATTATAAGTCTTGAACTATGTTCTTAAGAAAATATGTAAGATCTTTAATTTATGTTAAATTATAAATCCAATACTTCATAAAACCAAGTTTTTAACCTGATAAGAGTATACATATACAACTGGAATTAATAACACCAATTTAGGAATATCATGAAATAAGTTAGATTATTTAAAATTAATATTTTAGCTAGGTATGAGCTTATAGTGGTATGCTGTTCATAATTTCTTTATAAATATTATTTGAATACCAAATATATCGGTTTAATATGTATTGATAGTTTTAAATACTTTGTTAATACACAAAGTATGGATGGAAACATTTTCTTACCTTCGGGGTCAACTTCTTTAGAAATTTTTAATGCGTCACTATTGGCCAAATCTTGGTTAGCTGGTGTTACAGCCAAAATTAAGCAATTATCTCGTTTAACAAAAGTGAATAACATCGATCTTATTTGTTGCTCTATGTCGGGAGGCTGGTCACCAACAGGCACTTTGGTCATACCAGGCAAATCAACAAGGGTCAGGTTCAACACTGGAAAATAATACTAGAAAAACTACACAACGGCCACCAATAAAACTTCCATGTAGAAAAATATTTAATTTATAACTTTGTAGCCTAGACTATAAATTTTTCCTGCTTGATTTAAAATATTAATGATTATTTCTGTACATTTTTTTTAGTTCTCATTCATAATTAAATCATTAGGTTGGTAAGTAAAATGGTAAGATGGTAATAAAACAAAAACTCTGAAGCAGTATAGAATTCTAAGGAAAACTAATAAAAACTAATAGCATAACTTGGTGCAAAGTTGGCGAGCAGACTACTGGCCGATTAACGTTTACCGTCTGGGTCAACTTGTTTTGAAATTTGTAAAGCATCTGAAGTGGCCAAATCTGTATTAGCTGGAGTAACAGCTAATATAAGACATGTTTCTTTTGTGATAAATTGGAACAGCATTTCTTTGATTTGTTGTTCAATATCAACTGGTTGATCACCCACTGGTACTTTTGTCAAGCCAGGCAAGTCGATCAATGTGATGTTTAAAACTGTTTACATATTTCATTAATAATAACCATAATAAAATGGTACGATTTTAATAAAGCAATGCAATTGTAATTTCAAAATTATAGAATATAACAAAAAATGTAATTTGTACAATATATAATTACAGAGTTGCTTTTTTTTAAAAAATTTTTATTAATGCAGGTACATTAAAAATGTATTGAAATTAAAATTAATGTTAAGTAATTAAGTAAAAATAATACAAAGAGTATTTTAATAAAATAATAACAAATACAATTTTGTTAAAATTTGTTTTTTTTATTGTATATTTAGAATACCTATTAAATAACATTAACTATATAATGTATTGTTATTTGTACAAAAATACCTAACATATAACTTTATTACCTATTCAACTAAATTTAATAAATTAAATTTTTTTTTTTTTTCATGGATGATTAAAATATAAATTATATAGATGTATAATATGTAAATAGGCTTATTTACCATTAGGAGAATAGACCCTCAAGTTGATAGGTATATTAGATATTCCTTTATTGGAGCCAGTCATACGGTCAGTTTCAGCTTCTATTTCACGTCTAATTTCATCAAAATCTGAAAACTTTTTTCCTTTGCAATGAAGAAATTCTCCATATTCTATAAAAATTACAACAAAATTATGAGAAATTTATTATACGATTAATACATTATTGCATGATACATTTAATACATTATATCAGTGATGCCCAACCTTTTTTCCTTTGGCGGGCCACTTTGGTAAACAATTATCTTCAAGGGGGCCACAAAGTAAAAGAGTACAAAAATAATCTTATATATTGGACTAGTTTTCTTATCTTTTATTGTGTATTGAAAAGATTATGAATTGAGGTATACATAATTGTATTTTTTGGAATAATTATTTTAACGAATTCATAAATTTAAATAAAAATAATATTTGAAAATAAATAATTTAAAAATTTTTTCATACATTTTTAAAAAAATTTTTTATTTTAGAAAATTTGTAATGGGCCACATAGAATACCTTTGTGGGCCACATAGAATACCTTCGTGGGCCACATGTGGCCCGCAGGCCGAGGGTTGGGCACCACTGCATTACATGATAAGTTCAAAGCAAATTACTTAATTAGTAAAATAATAGAGTTGCGGAGCAAAAACAATCACATTCGAAATTGACCCCACAATTTTAAAGAGGGGTAAAAAAAAAATAAGTTGCAAATTTTGGGAAGTTTATATTAAACATAAAAAAAACTTATGTTTGAAACTAAATAACAATTAGTGGCCATACATAGAAATGCATTCTTGGAGACGCTCATCAAGGTTTCTCATCACTTTTTCCAACATTTCCACTGTAATTTATTCAAATTTACTTCTAATTGAATCTTATAAAGGATTCATGATTTGTTAACATAAATTTCAAATAGCCACACAGGAAGAAGTTGTAGGGAACAAAAACAAGCGAGGAAGGTGGCCATGAAATGTCACCATTCAAGACACCAGACCTCTGGAAAAATTTGAACGTTTAAAAAAATCCATTGAAATTTTCACCACGTATATTGTGGCACTATCTTGTTGGAACCAGACGTTTTTATTATCTATTTTATTTTCCTCTAAATGAAAGATGAAAAATTCTTAGATCATAGTTCAGAATTCACTACCACTGCATGTCCTCTCTATCATTTTCAAAAAAATAAGGTCCAATTATTGCAACTTTTGACAATGCATACTAAACCATTACTTATTCACTATGAAGAGAACAACATGTTGCTGAAATTATATTGAGTTACCTTATGCCCAATACCTGCAATTTTGTTTATTGACATAACCATGTAAGTGGAAATGATTCTTGTCAGATATTATAAATAATAAATATTGGTTCTGTAAAATGTATTACATGCACACACTAAATTTTCACATAAAAGATTGTCATAAGGAAAGATCTTCTAAACAAGCATTATTTTATAAGGATAATGAAACTTTTCATCATGTACTACACAATAAAAAAAATATTGTATAAAAGATGTTCAGTAATGTTGTGCCAAATCTCTTCCCAAAGCTACGCTTATCTCAAATGCAGTCGTTTTTACTCCGCCATCCTGTATATTTGTTGAATTTAATAAACTTTAAGACTGAATGAGGCAAAAGGGCTGATCAGACTATGAAACAATTTTAGGAAAATTGATTAAGAAACTTAGTTAAAAATTTTAAATTTTATATCAAAATTATTTTGGTACATACATAAATGTCTTAAAATATCACTTCAATAAACACAAAATAAATATTTTAAAATAATTTTTCACCTTAATACAATACATTTTATATTAGATGCAAATTACAATAATTTTAGTACATCAGTACACCCGAAAAATCATTTTTAATTCATATAATAACTGATGACAAAAAATTTTCTTTAACAAGACAATAAAGGTTATAAATGAATATAATTGTTTTTATTAATGATGTTGAAAATAAATGATTTTGTCATGTGGGATGCAGTAATCATAGGAGTTAAATGGTATATATAAAGGTCACCATATCCTAATAATTTCTATTCACCTATGTATATGCAATTAATTAAAATAAAATAATATAAAAATTAAAAGCACAATATTTTAAATTCCATATAATAGTTTAGGTATAACAAATATTCTATTTCTCCTATAGCTTACTCTTCACAACTTCTTATCATAAAATTGTAAAATACATTAATTTTAAATTTAAGTTTAACGATAAATACATTCAAAAAATAATTTTAATCCAAGTTACTTTCATCCCAAATAAATAAATTCTGTACATTTTATGTTATTTAAATATAAACTATATATTTATATTACGGAAAAGGTATACAATTTGGACATTTTATACATTGTCCGGACAGTATATAAAATGCCCTTCGTATATTGGGCAATATAGATAACGGATGATATGATTTAATGAAATATGATAAATCGTAAAACATAGTTAAAATAAAGTCAAATTATTATCTAAAAAATATTATTTGTAACTAGTTTGTTCTTATCGTATTTTTACAATGGGGATGTCTACTTGTCCATATATTATACGCTTGTATGTGACATAATATATTATTACTATATTTACTAATTTATAAGTTATATTATATGAAGTTGTAGTGATTATTGTGCAGTCAGCCTTTTACCTATTTTCAAAAATGAAGTATTTGGTAACTGTGAATCGTTTGTATAGTGCAGGTTAATTCATTCAGTGCATACCTAACTACTTATTCGAATATGGAAAAATTTAATGAAGATTTAAAGAATTTTTTTAAAAAAAAAGGTTCAAATTCTTAATTTTTACCAAGTTAAAATATGATCAATTAATTTTACATAAAAATCAATTAAAAAACAATTTAAAGAAAAAGGAACCAAATGATTATAAACTTTTAAAAAAATATGACGTGTTAAAAGTTTCTGATGTTAACAAGTTAATTGTTCCAGTATCTGAAAACAATGAAATTAAATATTATGTACATAATGAAGAGTTATTTGATGTTATACATAAGGTTCATTTATCGATTAGACATGGTGGACGAAACAGGATGGAACACGAGATAAATACAAAATATAAAAACATCACCAGAGATATGATTATGCTATACTTAAATAGTTGCGAATCATGTAAAAGAAAAGGAAGCACAGCCAAGAAAGGATTGGTGGTGCAATCAATTATATCTACTGAGATAAATTAATCAATATTATAAATACATGTCATTATTCATTGATTTATCATATTTCATTAAATCATATCAACTGTTATCTATATTGTCCAATATACGAAGAGCATTTTATATACTGTCCGGACAATGTATAAAATGCCCAAATTGTATACTTACTATATATATATATATATATATATATATATATATAAGTAAATTTAAATACATTTGTAAGGAATTGTTATTTATAATAAATATACATACTAAATTCAACTTACCTAAATTGCTATTTATTAATTGAAGAATGAGAGGTCGACGAGTTACAATTCCTGAACCTCTTGGAAGAAAATCCCTAAAAAAAAATAATTAACATAATTAATGTTAATTTTTACTACAATTATATTTTACACAGTTTTTGGTAATTTATAAGTATTTCAATTGATTTGAAATTTCTTGATTTCTAATTTTTCCCTATCAAGATTTGAATAAAATACATATCAATTAGTTTCATCATTTGATATCAGTATCTGAAAGTAATTTCAACAACCATAGAAGAAGACAATAAAAAAAATTAGTTCTAAAAGATTAAGGGATGAGTTTTAAAGATAATATCTAATTTAAATAAATAATTATACAATCTAATCAAAATTACTTAAATGAAATAAAAAAACAGAAAATTGAGGTAATTGTACCTAACAAATTGAATATAATAATGTTCCTTCTTTTAGAATTAGTCCAGCATTGCTATACAACAAACACTCTAATTATTTATCAATAAGACAATGTTGGGCACTCAATTAATAATTTCAATAATTTTATATTAATTAAATAACTAAGGTAATAAAATTAATGGCCAATCATACATAAAAAAAAACAGAAGAAATTCAATACAACTTTAATATTGTTTAATTTGATCCCATATAAAAAAAATTATTTAAAATAATAATTGCTTCAGAATTCCATTCAATATTCCAATAAATCAGTATATATAATTACTAAATTATTAAAACAAATATGAAAAGCAAAACATTAGGTACATAGAATTTAAATGACATATATCCAAAACATATTTAGTACACATGATCCAGAACATGATTCTAATTGTAAAAACTAGTATTTTTTTCTAAAAGATAATTTAAGATAAAAAATATAATGTAATTGAAAATATAAAGAAAAATAATGTCAACTGAACAATATTTAAACATAGTACATACTGCACAAGTGTTGACTATAATAAATAAAATTAATGGATGATTTTTACGATTGTCTTTGTATATGTTTGAAGTTCTCATATATAGTGTAATTACTTAAAAAAAGATTATTCAAATTAGTCTAATAAGTTATACTTTAATAAAAATGAATTCTAGTATTAACTGATAAAATAATACATGATCAACATTTCTAGATATATTAAGTTATATTGTCAGATTTCTCTTTTAGGAGTAAAACAGTCACTTCTGGTGAGGTGGTGAGAGGAAAAAATATATTTATTTAATATATATGGTGATAAATTTATAGACAGTAAAAAAATCACCAAATTATTTATTTGGAATACATTTACATAAAAAAATGTACAGCCATTATATCATAACAATTCCAATAGTCTCAAAAAATATATTTAACTTTGCAACAAATGTAATAAACTAATCATGTGTTCAAAGTGAAATTATAATGAGACCTTTGTTAAAAATATTCAACTAACGTAAGATGCATTTTTAAGTAAATTACAATTGGTTCGGCAACAATTTTTACACAAAAGAAAATGATACTAATTCATAATATATACCTAATAGAATGACTATTGTAAATAATTTTTAAACTTTTGTGTATTTTATATTTAAAACATATGCAACCAATTTAAAAAAAAAATGTTAAGTAACATTTTTTATGTAAAATGAAAGTGTATAGGTAATCAATAAAATACAATAACAGACATTTTATTAATTTTCCTCTAAAAATTTCAAGATTATAAGAATAAAAATTAATTACAATTTAAGTTATAGGTATATAACAGTAATTTACTAAAAGTTTATAAGCTATAAGCTTAAACCCAATATCACTAAAAGATTCAATATTTCAATATTATCTTTAAAAAATCATTATTATCTAATTTAATACTTGCCATTGGCCATTAAGTTAAAACTAAAATACATTTTAATAATTAGTACCCAAGTGTTTAATAATTGTTTTGATAAGCTACTCCTCTTTGGTATATAACCACTTGACCATTTAATTTTAAATGATATGGAATAGAACTAGTTTACAATCAGAATCTGTAAATTAGGTATTGCCAACAACAAAATTGTACTAATTGTAGATATGCACCTTGTAAGTACACATTAATTTGTTTAATAAAAGGATTCACTTATACAAATAAAAAAGAATCTGATTAAGTTCAATAACTGAACTTCAAAATATTTATTGAATAGATTTTTAAATATACAGTAACGAGATGATCATTATTTAGATATTTGAGTAAATCTTTTATGTATATGTTTCATGAAAACGAATGAAATACATAACTAACAAATTACTAATAGTTACAAAAGAACTGTCAAATGCTATGCATCCATCTAATTTAAATAAAATTACACAAGTCTTATAACATGAACAATGTATAGATTGATAATTTATACCACCAAGCATTAGAATGATAAAACAATAATAGCTTATGAAACTAATAGTATCTGCTTTGATCCTAACGTAATAGTATGTCGGTCCTCTTAACCATTATAATTACAGATAAAGATAGGCTTGTGACAAAATGAACAGTATAAAAGTAAAAACTATCGGCTGCAGTTTTAGAAAATTTAAACAAATCAAATTTCCCAAGAATCATGTTGAGAGTAAATATTAAGTCGAACTGTTGCGAACGAATCAGGGTTAATGACCAGTATTGGAAAGGATACCGGTCGGACCTTACGACCAACGGCCAGGTTTTTTTTGGGACTGCATCGAATATCAGTACCGATAAGAATGATGACAACCCCAGACGGTAAGCATGTTAACCCGGTACGCAGGCCATGTAGCCGCAAGTCAGATTAATCTATTCCTTGACGTAGCTCTACGTTGCGCCAATTACCTTCCGACAAAGTTCTCCAGCACGGAGCTCTTGCCCGCGCTCTGACCACCGACCACGGCGATCTGGGGCAGGTCTAGCTGCATGTGCACACCCAGCTGGGTGAATGCATCTTGCAGCTTGTTCACGATCGGTATCAACTGTTCCATTCCCATGTTGCCGGCCATTGCCCTCGAGTAACAATCCGCAACAGCGGCGACGGCGGCTGACGCGATCGGAAATGCAGCGGCGGGCGCGTTGGCGCGGGTGTGTTTGGGTCACGGACGACGACGGGATGTTTTTTTCGCGGTCAGAACACGGAATCCGGGACGACGACGGCGGCACACGCACCACACACACCGTCCGCTGGACAATACGTCACCACTAACGGCGGCAACAGCAGTAGCGAAACATACGGACGGAAGCGACGATCGTTCGTACGGTTACGGATGATTGTGCGTGTGCGCGCACGCGTGTATGCGGGACTATTTACGTGCCTTACGTGCGAGTGCGCGCGCGTGTGCTCGACGACGACGATGCGCGTCGGTGCGGCGGCGGCAACGATTGGTGTACCGTGCGGCGGCAGCGGCGGCGGCGGCGGCAACGGCGGCTCGGCCGGACGGTCTCGCTCTCTCGTCGGATCCGACGAACGGCACCGACCGGGTACGAACGGCGCGCGCGCGACTGCCGGTCGAC